TAGAGAGTTAAATATTTAAATATTTATTTGATCATTTATGTTCATCTGATGTGAACCCTGTTATAGAGATGGACTGGATCCTGGCTGTGTTGCTATGACGTAACCAAGGGGGAAAATATTCTTTCTGGGGAATTTCATGGTGGAAAAATGTGCACTTGTGGTGGATGTTGTTTGAAAAGTCAAGCATCCCGTGGAAACAGAGGTTGACATTTGCTTAGCAAACCACACAAGGTCCTCACTGAGTCTTTGCTGTCTTGTCTGCTCGTTCTCCCAAAGCCCAGTGCTAGAGTAAAACAGCGCTTTATTTCTTTAGTAGATTATATTGCATGTATTTAACAACATAATGCTTGATTTTCCATGATTTGCTCATTTTCCATGTATAGATCCATGTAAGAAAAACCACAATGTTTGGTGTTTTGTTCTTTCTTCTTCTCTGAACCTTTTCCTAAGCATGTTAGTCTATCTTAAGCCCCGAGGGCAGGAAGAGATGTAAGAAAAGGTTTCAACAGAGCTGTGATGAAACATGGAGGAAGGAAGAAGAAAAGTGCTAGAAGCATTTCACCAACACTTTGTATGTATCTTATTTCAGTGTGTAAATACAGGATACGGGTGAAACGTCTTCTTACATTTGTGATAGAAACACATGATTCACAACCATATCACTGGTTCTGTTTTTTTTAAACCAATTTACCCTGAAATCCATTATCCACTATTCAGGACAGCACTTGGCTGTGTTTTAGAAATTTTAATTTACTCTCTACCAGACAACATGCCTATAGTTGCAGTGAAATGCAAAGATAATGCAACCTTGTGAAAACCTGACAGGACAAAGCAATCTGCTGAGTGCCCACAGAGGCAACCCAGCAAACGTGGTTAAAACAGTGATGCTGTTTGTGAAACTATTCGTGGTATGATGGCTAAAACTGCTACACAGATGGAAAATGCTGACATTTCCACAAACAGTAGTAATCCACTCAGGCGGTCTCTAAAAGGGAGAGAAATATTTCTTAGCATCGCACTGAATTAAACAAATGTGTATCTGATTACTGAAAGGCTGAGAACCAACATCCACACACACACACACATATATATATATATATATACATATATATTGCATTGGACTTTATTGGTGCCTGAGACCAATTGCAAGTAGTTGCTGCAATCAGTTGGTTGCCTACAGGTTGAGCATGCAACTCCCTCAACTTTTGTGCAACCATGTATAACTGCAACTGGGAGTGCACAGGTTGTCTGGTGTGAGACAACCTGTCTCCAAACAATTGTGGTCCAACTTCAACTGATATCAATCACTCTGTGACCTGTCTTCCTCCTCTTACCCCACCGGTTGCAGCAATGACCCCCTCCCTGACCTTAGTTCTGCTGGAGGTTTCTTCCTGTTAAAAGTGAGTTTTTCCTTCCCACCGTTGCCAAAGAGCTTGCTCATAGGGCGTCATATGATTGTTGGGATTCTCTCTGTTTTCTTGGTACTATTGTAGAATCTTTACCTTGCAATATAAAATGCCTTGAGGCAACTACTGTTGTGATTTAGCACTGTATAAATAAAACTAAATATTATTGAAATTAATTACTGTCTAACTTAGAAATGCAGACAGATTGCCAAGATATTGCAGCAAGTCTGAGTCAGTAAGCAAATGGTTAAAGGCTAATACATAGCACGCAACTTCTAGGTGGTAATAATGAAAATTTGTTGCTGACAAGCTCCGCCTTGTTGCATCAGTCTGTATTGTTGCATATCTCTTTGCAGTAGGGACTCAGCATTAACTCGTTGCCAACTGTTTGCTGATCATTCCTATTAATTCATATGAATCATTCATATTAATTTTACAGTTAAATCGCCATGTTGTAGAGGAATTTCTGTATCAGATGTATGAAGTTCTGGCTGGACTCTGAATGTAATGTGAATTTCACTTTACTATGGTGACATCTCCAAAGCTCCCAGGCAATACAAAAGTCAGCAAAAGCAAGCGTTCTTTTATTGTCACTGGTCATAGAAGTGAATTTATAGCAGAGGTGTGGACTCGAGTCACATGACTTGGACTCGAGTCAGACTCGAGTCATTAATTTTATGACTTTAGACTTGACTTGAAAAAATGTTCTAAGACTTGTGACTTGACTTGGACTTTTACACCAATGACTTGGGACTTGACTTGGACTTGAACCGGTTTACTTGAAAAGACTTGATATTTTACCCCAAATATAAAATTTAACATGCATATTATATAGAGATTGAAAATGTGACGTCATTCACGGGTAGAACCGCAAAAGATTCTGGGAACTCGTGGCAAGCGGTACTAGCGCACGGAGGCTTTCAATTAAAATCAGTTATACAGCGATAAAAAGAAACACAAAAATGTCAAGAAGCTGTTGTATTATTAACTGCAATAGCCGGTCGCATGACAGCCACGGGAAGCCGACGGGTAAAGAGATCGGTTGTTATCGGATTAGTCGTTGAAGAGAAATTGTTCGAGCCATGTTTCCGAAGTAACAAAGACGCGACTGGATTGCAGCCATTCAAAGACCAAATATAACGTCCCAGAACACTCCAGCTCACATGTTAGTCTGCTCCAAGCATTTACACGAAGGTCAGTGTTTTGTAGTAGTTAATACGTCATTTTCATAACATAATTAGTGATATAGGTTACAAGCAAGTCTGGCGCTGAACAGAAATTGTGGCGCTATGCTCCTTTATTTATTGTGTTTATTGTGCATAAATAGTGAATTGTCCTGACACAATATTGCGTTTCGCTTCTGTTATTATGGTACATTGACAAAAATATATACTTTTATTCACAGGATAAAACAGGTTTTTTGTATCACTAATTGCCCAGTACGATTACAGCATCCAATATTATTGTCACTGCTACATTTCTGTGATGGGTACCAGAAATTATTTCCACTACTAATTAATTACCGTTGAGCTCAAAGGTCCTATTAATAAACGGTTAAGGAATGTGTATTTATGAAGACGATTTGTGAGACTGGTAAACTTATGATAGGTACGATGGTCTTTCGTTCTACACGGTGCATTTCAAGGTCCTGTACCCATCCGTCGGTAAACTGTACCTGGGCTTGTTGCAGTGACCTGAAGTTACTAAACTTCATGAGTGTATGCACTCACTCCAAGAACCGTATGATTATAAATATGCATATAAATATGCTACGATGAGATAGCTGACTTCATCTAACTAGCAAATGTTGTCCAGGCTACGTTGGTGATACAGTTTTTTTTAATGTGTATGATATTTTTGTCATGCGATTTTAAAGCTGGTCCTACAACCACATCCAAGAATAACATGCAGCTTATCTCAGAACTGTCGGTGAAAATTATTCTTGGAGCTAGGTTTAATTGAGCTGCATTTTAAAGAGGTGCAATTTCACAATTTGTGTATATTTTCTAAGTTCACTATTTTGTCATGTGTTGAGAAAAACACAGATTTAAAACTTACATGGTCTAATATTTACATTTAGCATAACTGCAACATTATTTTTTCGTTTGTTTTTTTTTAAAGACTCGAAAGGACTTGAAATTCAAAGTTTCAGACTTGTGACTTGACTCGGACTTTTACACCAGTGACTTGAGACTCGACTCTGACTTGCCTGACATTACTTGAGACTTGACTTGAGACTTGAGGATAAAGACTTGAGACTTACTTGAGACTTGCAAAACAATGACTTGGTCCCACCTCTGATACACTGTGCACTATAGTACAGACTCGGCGAACCAAAAGGATAACTTGTTACCTTTCAAAAACCATCATTTAAAACAAATATATCCAAAAATGTGACATGATTAGATTTAAAGAAGTAATGTGACTACTTATTTTGGCTTCATTTGAAATGAAACGACTTACTGTGCTTTCGTCATACCTAATCACAGCTGAAATTGCCTGCTATGACTTGTTAATTTTGAGTTTTAGTCTTGTCCTTATTTGTGGATGCATAATAAACATATAGACTGATTTAAGCTAGTACACTTATGTGTATCAAAAAGATTGCTGTTTTGGAGGAAAGTGTAAATAAAGTGTTAAACTTGCCTCCTGTCTCCTCTACAGTGAACGTTCTTTAACAGTACCCGTAATTGTATTTTCTTTTGTTGCACGAATCTCCTCGTGATCCAGCTGTCTGTTTATTCCCCCCTCTGTTTGCGTTTAGAGAAAGATCTACAGATTTAAAAGATGTCAGATGTCAGACGCTTCCTCGCCCTCGTACCTCTGAACTGGGCCAGTTCGTCTTAAAATACTGCGCTCCTCAGAGAAATGTGCCAGAACATTCAGCGTCTACGTAACACCTTGTTCCCTCCCTGCCTCCCCATATCACACTGTTATCTTCTTCTTCTTTTTTTAAACATCTGATATGAGATGATGATGAGGATAAAAAAAATTATGTAAAGGTTCACACTTTTTAAAATAGCTTTCACCTGCTCTGATTTCTGTCTTACTGGGTTTGTCAGACTGGCTCGCCACAGAGTTTTCTGAATATTTTATTCCATCTAAGTTAAAGCTCTAAATCAGATTTAAGCATTTAGGGGTTCTTTCTTCATATTACCAGATAACCCTGCCACTAATACCCTCTATTCCTCTGCTTACTTTCATCCTGTCATATTACTTTTTTATATCAGGTGTTTCGGGGTGACCAATAAGCGCCACCTTCCACTGACGTCATGACCAACGCTGCTTCTAAGGTCATTTAATTTTAATGTAGACTTAATTTTAATTTCACAACAGTTGAAATAAAATAAACATTAAGAAATCAACAAATAATACTTTTAGTGTATATGGTATTTATTTATATATTCTCTGTTAAAGTAGTCTTTAGCATTAGCATTGATTTGGTTATTCGTTCAAGAGCTAACGTTATTACGTTGCCTAGCAACCACTCTTTCGCTTTCTGCTGGCAAATACTGTATAACGTAAAATAAAAATTAAAATAAAAACATTAAATCTTTCCACAGCGTCTAAAATGATCGTTTTTATTTAGCTTTTGTCAAAATATTGCTGTTGTTATTATTAGTATTTTATTAATATCCTAATATTAGTCACAGTGCGTCGTAATTACGTTACAGCGTCCCCGTCCCCCTCGTAGCCGTCCCGAGCCGCCATGGCCACTACGCACGCTTTCTGCGCACACGCCACCGTGCTGTCCTTTGTTCCTCATTCATAAAGCGGCTTCACGAGCACGGGGATGTGTCACCGTGAACCCCTCGCACGGAAAGGACCGCTGGCCCTTTAAGGGTTATGTAGCAGGGCTAACTGATGTAGGACGAGCCGACCGTGCGTTTCTCTGCTCGAGCTCCCGCTGCCATCCTCGTCATGGCCTCCGTACACCCGCCACCGACACCACCACCGAGGATGAACCGACCAGCCATCGACCCTTCCCTTCCCGGAGCGGAGACGGACGTCAAGCCGAAGCAGAGGCACCGGTAGAGGCGAGCCGCGCCGGGGAGAGCCGCCTCACATCCAAATGCCACCCCGGTTTCCTCATCCATGCCTTCGTTTAAAGCCAAGTACAGCTATACGATAAAGAGGGGTGCGAACCCGGGCGGCGGCGGCGGAAACATGACAACGGACAAGGATTATTCTCTTAATCTGTCGGTGCAGCAAGTGCTGAGCCTTTGGGTGCAAGGCTCGGCGCTGCACCACTTCACAGGTATGCGGAATGAAAGGTGCCGCTATTCTGCTGCTTCATTTTTTTTTTTTTTTAAATGTGTTCAGTGAAAAAGTCATCACCACCAGCAGCATGTGCAGCTTCCTTTTTAAAGAAGAATATATATAAATATCATTCAAATATATGTGGTCATTTTTCTTGTAGCCAGCAGGAAGGGCATGGCTGCTGTTATGCTTAGGGGGCATCTGTGTGCCACCTTTCCATCCCACCTCCCCATCTCTGTCTCTGCAAGCTGGTGTGTTTTATTGGTGATGCTGGGCCTGAACCACAACATCAACAAAACAAAACAAAATCTCACTCTTTTATTCAGGAGTCCGTCAGGAAAAATAATGACAACATTCGGCTAATTAATCTTTCTGCTTCGTGAATGCGTAGTAAATGTGGCCTCCTCCCCCTCCTTTGTCTTTCAGTAAAGGGGCAATTAGAGGGAGGGTCCTCTTAGCGGGCAGGGATGCTGTCTGGGATGGTCCTGACTCTAGAAGTAGTGAGGCTGAGTTCAATTCCCTGTTTTATTTGAATGCAGTTGAGCCAGAGCATGTCTGCTTTGATATTGAAGGTAATATGCAGCTGTAAATACGAGATGAGGGCATCTCTGCGGGCTGATGGCTGAACTGTCACTTGTTGATACAGATGATTGAGCTGCTGCCATCAATTATGTGCTTTGTACCAAAACAAAATGCTTACAAGATGACTTTCTTCCTCCTTTTTTATTTGTAAGGAGGTTTAAGAAAAGTGGAAGAAATGCATGAAAGTTCCTATGACACAAAAACAGATCACGGGGCACCAAAAAAGCAATGTGTGGGCATTTTATCTCTTCTTTCCAAGCAGAATGAACTTCCTCAGCAAGAAATATTATTACTTGCCAGCTGTTCAAAGCATTGTCATCACTTTTCTTTTTTCTTTTTTTGAGGAAGTGGACGGGGGACCGTGTGTGTTGCACATTATAGAAATTCTTGCATTTCACTCTGCAAAGTGAGGAGCCGGACGTGTAGTCATGGCTGGCTTGGCACAGACCGGTTGTCTAATATGCAGCTGACATCCTGTGTTGAGAAACACATCATGCAGGGATGGAAGGGAAAAAAAGGCACAGTTGATCACGCTGACTCAGCAGGAAGTTGCAGTGCAATGTAGAAGTTTGTGGTATCTGAGCTGCAGCGGCGAGAAGAGAGCTGTGAGGAGCTAACGCCCCGGGGCTTTACAGAATACTGTTCACAAATCTCACACCTGACCCCCCAGACAGGTGAAAAACGACCTCCTGAGACATTAAAGAAGGTCAGGGGGGACAGTTGGGGAGCCCTGAACGGATAGATAAACTTTTATCTGTGCCCCTGGGGAGTGCTTCCTGTTTATGAGGCGTGCGCAGCAGGCGGTTTCACTTCAGAAAACCAGTGAAAAGAACATATTTAAATGTGAACAGCTACTTTGAAATTGTCTCACTTTGATGAATCACAGTCAATAAAAACATGCTGTTCTTGTCACTCATTTATTATCTATCTGTGGGATTTGTGGTACGATTGAGATGCATTTAAGGAAGTGCCATTTACACACAGACCTTTCCGATGTCAGAGTGTGTAACTTTAGAAATCTGATGATCAGATAAATATCCAATTCTTAATCCAGCATGCACCAGGTGCTGTTAATCTGCCGATTGCTAATTGTGTGGCGACACAGGCAGAACAGCAGAGCTGCTCATGTGCAGCTCATGAGGAGAAAGGAGGAAGAGCAGAGAGACGCCAGCGTAATGCATTGCATATGCATAGATATTTACCAGCTGGAGGGCACTGAAATGTATTTAACCTCATTTATTACAGCAATGAGTGCTTTAGCCTGTCTTGATTAGAATAAATAAGTGTATGAATATCGGTTAAACAGGGAAACTCATACAACATCATGTTTATTTTGCGCTTTTATCCCTTTTTTTGTTTTTTTTTACCTGCTTTGGTCTTAGAAAATGAAAAATATTCAATGCATTAGCCTACTTGGGGGGTGGTTAATTGACACCCAGCGGGTTAATGAACTTGTAATAGACTTGCAGAAATCCTGTATTATCAGTTCACAATAATAATGTCAAAAGGCTTTCTTAGTTTTAATTGTTTGCCTGCTGTGATTACGCGATGATCAGATTGCTAAAAAGTCATTTTATTATCTCACACAGTAACATGTTGTGTAGCTGTTCTTCGTGTAAAGCTAATCAGTTGTGTTCACTCTGCACGTTCCCTGATCTGCAGCTTTTTAGCTCACCATGTCTGGTGTTTAGCTGTTTGCTTTAGCCTTTATCTCTTTGCAAACAAGCACACAAAAGCAAAAAGAGCTCAGGTGAAGCTGTAAAACATACACACAAAAACAGAAAGCGCAACTTGGCTGCTCAGTTAAAGGTCCAGATATTTCTGTCAGGAGTTGGCAGACAACTAAACAGAAGGTATAGTGGAGTTTAGCAGGTTCAGATAAAAGCATCGAGTCTATGTATGGGCACATGCAGCTATATTAGGAGTTAAAGCTTTGTGTGAATGCCAAGCAGCAACCTTCAGGATTTAAAAACATTGCACCAATGCTGAAGTGGCAAAAGCTGCAGTTCCTCCAGTGGCCACTTGAGGCTTTCTCCTAAAACAAGTCAATCCCCATAGACTCCTGTGTTAAAATAAACTTTAAAGCATTAAAAGCATCTTTACAGCCTCAGTGGATGTTTTCCCACATCATAACTATCAACACAGGCTTAAATTTTCTTTTCTTTCTTTCTTTTTGTAAATAAATTTATGCATCTGGATGCTAAAGTGAAGATCGTGGTCGCTTTGAGTGACAGGCGTTCCCAAGGCACCTGGATTTGATCACAGTCTGCTGGGCCTCACCTCCACTGCCATGTTTGTGCTGTTGGTGCCTTTTGGAGCATTTGCAGTGGCATTATCTTATTGGTCTTTTACTTTGCACTAATTAGCAGGTATGCTTTTCTGTGTGGTGCATGTGTACAGTTTAACGATACATCACGTCATAGTAGCTCGGTTCTCCGAAAAAGAAGAAGCATCATCCGAAATGGAATCAACATTAGCATAGTCCTCTTCTTGTTCTGCATCACGGGACAGAGTCACTGCCAGATGTGTCAGGCTGGCTCTCCCTCTCTCCACGTTTGGACAAACCCATCCTTCGTCGTCTTGAGAGGTGAACTCGGCAGCCTTCTGCTTCGAGAAGCTGCGGCTTCAACACGGGAATGGTTCATGTTCTGCAGCCGCCTGTGTACTCCAACCTCTGACGAGGCACCAAATACACGAGCCCCTGCTTTTTTAAAATTCTGTCCTGTTGACAGGCGAGCTCTAAAGCCGCCGTGCTGACAAAGACCTCGGCCTGTAGTTGCGGATTAGCAGAAGTTAATACTGTGCTCTCACTGTGTTTTAGCCTGTGTTCGCTCCTATCTCTGAACATGACACAGCACTTTACTGCACTCATTTCTCACCCTATAGGTGCTTCTTCATAGCCGTGACCACCTGCGCTGCCTGCTGTCCCCTGAAACTAAATGTGCACCTCACCTTCCAGCATCTGCTGCAATGCAAAAAAAATTAGCTGCCATGGATAATTTTAGTCGGCTGAGATAAATAACGAGCCTCGTGTCTCCACTGAACATTTCACCCGACCCATTTTCTCTCTAAATCGAGCTTGTAACTTATCAAGAAATGCAACAGATTTCCTCCAGCTATGCTATTAAATATTATTCTGACCAGCATGACAGGTTACTGTTACAGAAGAGAGATCACGCTGACATTTGGTCCTCAGTAGGTGTCCGGGTCAGGCTCCATCCATCAGTGATGGTGGAAGACTATACGGATTATTTTATCAGTAAGTAGAAACACAGAGTATCCCAGCTGTCCTCTCCATTTGTGAAATTTTTGGCAAAGTTGATCTCACTGAACCCTTACATATTGAATCTAACCGTGAGGTTTAGAGGAGAAACTTCTAGCATTTGCGGCCAATCAGCTTACCTGCCATTCACCGTTAGTTACGTTGAACTCCGCATTTTTCTTTTCTTTTTCTCAGACTTCTGCTAACCAACTCATTCCCTTAACTACACATAAACTAATGGTGTTTGTGATTGTCTGTTTAACCTGTGGATGTCTGTAGTTCTTTAGACCGAGTGGGCGATATCACAGTCTGTGTGCGATGATGTTAGCATTGCATAACCTCCTCCAGGATCTTTGAGTTTCATCTTTTCCAGCCTGCATTAAAGGCCGGCTCTCTCTACACGATGCTGAATCCTGATCAGCTTTCGTGTCGTCGGGGGCTACAGTTAAGCGGGGCTCTCTCTCCCTGTACTTCCTGTATGTGTGTCTCTCTTATGTCTTGGGTCCCATCACAGATATCACTCTCTCCTCTGCTGCTGGATGCTTGCAGAAAGACAGCAGTGGATACACTGCAGCGTGATCTGCGTGCTCAGTCATTTAAGACAAAACGCCATTGTGTTACTCCGCTGTCACGTCTCTCTCCGCCTGGCCCGGCGCTCGCCTGCCGGATCAATAAGTAGATGTAGGCACTCAGTGGACTGTGGAGGAGCTCGGTTAAATGGATATGCTAAAGAGGTCCTCGTGTCCCAGAGCTCTGAGAAATACTTGGTAATAGAATTGGGCGTTGTGATGTTTACACTGCAAAATAATGTCACGTTTCCTGTTTGCATCGCGCCCACACACAGACAGCATTGCCATGCTTCGGCTGGGTCATCCTTTCTCACTTGGTGTCTTTTCTTCTTCAGTTATCTCACGGCCAGCTGGCTCCTTCTGGCTCCCACGGTGCCAGGGGTTCAACCAAAGGCCCCTCGCTGGCAAAGTGCAATGAAGCCGGAGCCTTTTTAGACAAAGCTGGCCTGTGCCACAGAAAGACAGGGAGAACGAGGAGGAGGAGGAGGAGGAAGAGTGTGATTTTTAAATGCTGTTTACTGTTCTCATTTTCAGTGGAGTCCGTTATAACGGCAGCACAGTCTGGACCCTGCAGGGTGCATTATGTGTATTCTAGGAGAACAGTCGAGTTTGGTGGAAGCTAATTAGATGATTTTGCTGGCATTTTAGGGATTATCAGCATTTTTACTTTGCAGACGTTTGTTTCTACAATTACATTTTTTTTTTCAGAAAGCTTATCTCCAGTCAGGATGGTCACAAAAGGCGGCCGTATGCTATTGTTTCAGACGAGATTTTCCATTTACCGCTTCATGTCGGGCTCGCTGTCTGAAATGTCGCTCTGAGCGGTTTTATACATCTCCGCCACGGGTCCATCGCCACGGTCGGCTGCCTCTTTGATGAGGCTTGACTTAGACGGTGGCTGCTGTAGATTGAAATCCTCCCCTCGCCTCACAGACGTGCAGCAGCGGCTGTAGCTCTGCATCTTGGCTGAGCTGCAGTGTTTCATCTTGGAAGCACTCTTTATAAGCAGTAAATGTGAATTTTTCAAGACTAGAACGGAATATTATAAGTTGTGTCTTCCCCCTCGGGATTACTTATTATCGGCGTTTGTTTGCATGAAGCTCTTTTGTTCAGAAGAGCTTCTTATCACTAATGCGGCTCAGTAAGGTGAAGGCCTGCCTCCCACCACTGCATGACTCTGAGACAGAGTCTCACGCTTTTATTACCTCTCTTAGACTTTCGTAGCTCTTTATTTGTCGGCTCTGATCAGTCGTTACTTCGTTGTCAGCAGGCTGTAGGAAATGCAGCAGCTCGCCTTTAGACAGGAAAGAAACATGGTGATCACACCTTTTCTGGCCTCCTTACACTGTCTTCCTGTCCATCAGGATCCAGTTTAAAATTTACTTGTTTTTAAAAGCCTTATTGGTTTGGTGCCACCTTACTTAACAGAACTTTCGGAGCCTCTGACCAGATAGTCCAGTCCAGGCTTAAAAGCAAAGTCTACAAAGTCTTTGTAGTGGCAGCTCCTAACTTTTGGAACAACCAAACTTCCCACGTACAGCTCAGTCATTTTAAAACAACTGCTTATTCTTGTTTTCTTTCAGGTCTAGATGAGCAGGATAGCCTGATGCAAATACGGCCTTATTTAATTAGTTGTATTTGTTGATTTTTATTGTGTATTTGCTGTTTATTTATTGACTGTATATTTTTTTACAACCTGAGGTTGTTGCTGAAAGCTAGGATAAAGTTTATTGAGATGGTTAAAAAAAAATTAAAGCAGCTGATGTACAGATATCCCACTAAGCCCCTGCTTCTGTCTGTGTTCAGGTTGCAGTAGTAAATAAGCAGCTTTTATCTATAAAGCAGGTTTTCTGTTACAAACCTGTTGTCTTTAAGTCCTGTTTCAAGTTTCATGTGTAATCGACGTTATGCAAACCAAAGCTGACCTTTATATGTAAATGCAGCTATTTCACTAAAATAAAGGAAGCAAAATAAATCACAAGGGCTTAAATCACCGTTTCCCAGTATCGTTGTTTTGATCATTGTGATGTCAAATCAAATCACTGTACATCAAGGATGGACATGATCACTGCTTTAAAACGTAATTAGATTAAATCAAGCTTGTAATTTATCAATAAGTGCAACAGACAGACTCTGACTAAGAATTCAAATGTTATTTTGGCCAGAGTTTTACAGAGACCATTACAGATTTATCCACTGAAGGCAGATTTCACTGACATTTGGTCCTCGGTGGGTGTCGAGGTCATCCATCTGTGTTTGTGCTCCATGATGGTGGAAGGAATATTCAGAAGTCCCAATACAACTGTGTTAAAGTGTTCCAACACAAGGAAAAGCATTGTAAAAGTATAGAAAAAGAAAAGTGAAGCCTTAAACGTGCTTTCTGTTTACAGACCAGCAGGACAGGTCAGAAACACATAAAAACATTAAAAGCTGGGACCAGTCTGCTTCAGGATGGTTTCTTTGGTAAACAATTCATAATTCATTTTGTAAGTGAAAGCTGCTTCTGTTCCTCAGATCGATATTTAATTTCATGCTTCACCAGAAATGAAAGTACTCTGTTAAAGTCATATATATTAGAATAGGGGATTGTTGTTACTTTAATGTGCCAGCTGACTGATTTTAAAATGGTGATGTAAACCAACAAATAGGAAAAAATGTAGTCTTTATGTTTGCAGTAACTATCATTATACATCATCATTGTTATTATCCAGTAAATATAAAAAAATGTGAAAATGTAAAAATATTTATTTCAGTGCAAGCGATGATTTCTCTAATTTGTTGCTATGTTTGATGTTCAGGCTAAAAAAAAATGTAATTGTCTGATTAATATTTATGAAACTAATCGATAATTTATTTGCTGCAGTTGTTACATTAAGAACCCCTAAGACATTATATCATACTGTACTGTAGTATATACTTATACTACTATGTGCTATACTTATACTATATCTGGAGCAACTACGCATTGTGTTCGAGAGATATTACCTGATATTTAACTTCTGAGGCTGGGCTGTACTTTTATATAATACTATAATATAATAGATGGTGCAGGTGGTCAGTTTAACCTTAATTCAGCAAGTAAAAGAAAAAAGCATTTAGATGAGAAAACATTTCAGCACACTGCCCCCTGCTGGTGAAAGCTTTAGTTAAATTGTACGTAGAGCACCTTTAATGTAAGCGGTAAATCCTGTGCTTTCAGGCTGTATCTGATCTGTGTTGTTGGCTCTCTCTCCCTGCAGAGATGTGGTACTGGGTCTTCCTGTGGTGTCTCTTCTCCTCGCTCTTCGTCCACGGGGCGGTGGGGCTGCTCATGTTAGTCATGCTGCAGCGCCACAAGCGGGGACGCCTCATCACCCTGGTGCTGGTCAGCGTGGGTTTCCTGGCCTCGCTCTCCGGAGGTGTCATCACTAGTAAGCCCATTTACTTCCCCTTTTGTTTTCTTGCTGACGGGTTATTTTTAGAGCGACCTCAGAGTGCGGCGTTCAGCACCCAGAAGAAGACGAGAGGTGACAGGAAGGCAGAGCGAGCGCTGGGTGAGGTGACCGTGTGTTAACTCGTGTCAACTAGAAGAAAACAGAAGCTGACAGAGAGACAGGGAGGAGAAAGATTTTTAGACTAATCTGCTTCTGTGTTTACCTGCCTGTTTGTTTATGTGGCCCAGGAAACTTCAACGTGTCGGCACGATAAGGGTTCATTTAATTTAACAACATTTTTGTGATTGGCTGGACTGTTGTCGCTGGTAGGAAGAGTTTGCACCCAAAAAATACCAACCACACACACACACACACACACACACACACAAATGACCTAAACACTAACTTTGAAGATATTCCAAACAACAACAACAAGAACATTTAAAGGTACATTTTGTAAAATCCCTATTCAGATTTTTTTTTTAAATTCACGCCACTGAGTGTTAGATTCGTCTATGCACTGTAACAAAGACCTCTAACTAATCCTCACCTGACTATTACAATGTTTTATGTTAAGAAATCAAGGATATACTGTCTACTTTCACTCTGTCTCTTAAGCAGTCAGTAGTTTAACCAACCATCCCAGTGATGTAATGTTCTGTACGGGCACAAGTTCAGTATCTTTCCCATCTTTGCTTCCTCCTGGGCTACAGTTACTGCCCCCCCAGCTAGGCAGCCTCCCATCCAAGTACTAACCAGGCCCACCCTGGCCAAGATCAGCAGAGATTGGGCGTGTTTAGGGTGGTATGGGGATGAGCAGTGACATGCTAGTATAAAGTTAACAAATTACACTCCTACCTGGTCTTTGAGCTGCTTGGAGAAGTCTGGCGTGTTTCCTTTTTTTGTTCCAAATGCTCAAACGATTTAAATGTGGGTGTTTAGTCTTTTGCTTGAAGCAGACTTTTAGCTGCATCTACAGATTTTCTACATGTTGCTGTTCATCAGATGTCTGCAGTAACCTCAGAACAAATGGGGAAAAACAAAAAACAAAATACAGTCTTATTTCTTGACACCACCCCACTTTAAGTTAACAGTCAGTTCCTTTAGTCAATTCTAAGAGCTACATCATTACATCCAAGTGAATGTGTTAAGGTTTGGGCGGCTTTGAGACAAATTCTCAAGTAGCGACAGGCTGTTACAGTCACAGTAGGGAAAAACAGTGGTTGGAGAATGGAACACAACCAAAATGAACGCAGCTGACAATTTGATGTGTCAAGACGGCAATAAAACAGCAATAAGATGAAGTCTGTCTGTGATTAGATTGGGTGCAGTCAGTCGATTGAAAGTGGTGGAAAGTAAGCATGCATCCTCAGGCCAGGAGCTGTTGGTCGCTGCAACTACTCACTCAGAGCAAAACATTTTTCTTTTCCTTTTTCTAGTCGCAAAAAAGGTGCTGTCCTATTTTTACTCTAGTGTGACTGATCCATTAGGGTAAGAAGGTAAGAAGTCCCAGTGCACCTCAGGTCACGTTCCCTGCAGAGTCCATGGGTATCACATTTCAGCACTAATGATGATACCTGCAAGTCTGCATTAGAAATGAGGGGCAGCGGATCCTTGAAGACCAGGGGTAATTAGTCTGAGGCCATCTAATTCATCTCTCTTTGTTAACACTTAATATAACACAGTAGAGTGGTGCAGATAGTTATCTATAATACATGATGACATCTGTGGTGACTGTGAAGTAAAAATACCTTAAAATACTCTAAAAAGGCAGAAATCAGGAATTGTTAATCATTTATTTTCTACTGTGAATCAAAACGGTGAGGAAATCTGTTCGCTGTCTGCACGTTTTAATAACTGGCACTTGTTTTCATTGTTATACCAGGTGTGATATGTTATCTTGAGCTAGGACAAATATCAGTATTTTGTACCCAATACAGTGGGGCAAAAAAGTATTTAGTCAGCCACCGATTGTGCAAGTTCCCCCACCTAAAATGATGACAGAGGTCAGTAATTTGCACCAGAGGTACACTTCAACTGTGAGAGACAGAATGTGAAAAAAAAATCCATGAATCCACATGGTAGGATTTGTAAAGAATTTATTCGTAAATCATATTTTTGAAACACAAAAATATTCACTTTATTATTTTTTTAAACACTGCAGGTGAAGCTGATATCCAGGCTTTGTTTATTTGCCTTTACCTTCCCCTCACTGTATCAGTGTGAGAGCACAGGGTGTGTAAATAGACCTGCGTCTATCGTAGCGTAGGGCTCTGTGGATGACTCACTCACCGTCACAGATGTGAGCTGGTGCCCCAAAAATAGAAAAGCCGCTTTATTATTAATGTGTAGCAATCAGAGTGAGCTAGACTATTGACAGCGTCACCAGCCATGTGTACGCGAGCCCGGCACAAAATCAGAGTGTGTGTTTGTGTGTGTGTGTGTGTGGAGACTGCAAAGGCAGCAGTCGCAGCTGAGTAGAAGTAAAAGAAAGGTCATGCAGCACAGAGGAAATGTCAGCCTTTAATAGTTGTTTAAAGTCCTTTTCTATAACATTAAATGTCCAGGACTCTGATTTGAGCTACAGTTTAGAGTCTACAGGCCTCAGTTGACATGTTACATGTTTAAGTTTATGTTGTGTTTGGAAGGTTTGCATGATGGCACAGCTTCGTGTGTTTCAACTAAGCAAACCACAAGCACATTGTCCTTTAGACAAATGAGTCCAAATCGGTGATGTTTGGTAATAATGCAAAGTGCATAATATCAGCAGCACAAATAAATGTTATTGTCATGCACAATGGAGGAGGCGTGATCCTTTGGGCTTGGTTTGCAGCCAATGGGTCCGGGCACCTTCCAGTGCCAGACTGATGTTTAAGACCTGAACACTAAACCCCTGTTGATACTAAAAGCTGAAGATTTAGACACAGAAACCAACCTCTTTCTCTTTTTAATCAGGACACACGTGCAATTTTTCTTTTAGTTTTTAATACAAACACAAAGCAAAGATGAGAAACACTCCGACTTTAAAGCCAGTGTGATGCTACTTTAGAAATACTGGTTTTCCTTCTCCACACATTATTTTTTCTTTCTATCCGCCTGACGTGCAGGTTACTGAAGAGCCTTTTGTAACGCATGTAACAACATGATATAACTCTAATCTAATTGCTGAGTATAGCACAGTAACCTGTTACATTACTGTTACTGAAAAATGTAACGTGATCACTTTGTTTTCTGTAAAAGCAGCAGCGATTACATCCTCCACACCGTAGATATGATAACCTTGATGAAGGGAGGATTCGCTGGAGCGCTGCTGGTAGCTTTAACTGGTAAACTTTGTTTAGATTTTCTCGGCCTTCGAGTCCAGCAGTTTAAAAATAGCTCACTCGGCTTTGGTGCTTGGATTAGAGAAACGTCCTCTCCTGCTGTTTGTCTCAATCACGACTAGACGGACAGCGTGCAGTGAGAACTGCTGCAGGAAGAGCAGCGAGTCCGCTCAGAGTGTGGCTGCGAGGAGGCATGCACGAACGCTCCTCCATCACTGACAGAAGGGCGAGACCAGGAGGGACATGTTTGTCCGCTGATCCCCTGACTGTGGATGTTCAGTTGGGTTTAATGGTGACAGGCAGCTGTGTGTGTGTCTTTCTCTTTGCCAGATCTTGTATTAGCATTGACTTTTAAATTTTTTTATCTCCCTCAGGCGCGGCCGTGGCGGGCGTTTACCGCGTGGCGGGGAAAGGCATGGCACCGCTGGAGGCGCTGGTGCTCGGCGTGGGCCAGACCACCCTCTCCGTCGTCATATCCTTCTCGCGGATCCTGGCCACGCTGTGAAGAAAACCCATGACGGGGTGAAAGCGGGCAAACCGAGCCGGGCAGAGACTTTAGGCCTGCTTTTATGGAAGGACATGAGGCACAAGTCCTCTGGACCTTTTGAGGGCCGGATCCAGGGTAGAGCGCCCCCCCCCCAGCGTCTCTGCACTGTGCAGGAAGGTCGTCATCGTGTCAGAGAGCAGCGCCGGGCAGAGGCTCGGCCTCAGCTTCTGGACCTGAAAGCCATGTTTCTGAGTTTCCAGAGTTATGCCACTTCTTCGTGCCAAAAGCCTTCTCTGTGAAAACAGCAAGCCTCGGTGGCCGACTGACTCTCAAAGGCTTTCTGTTGAACTTTTGAGGGAGGAGGAAAAAAAATCTATTTTTTAAACAGCGACCTGTAATCGTGAGCTGATGATCTTTGGCGATCGGAACAAAAGTTCGGCAAACAAACAAAAGAACAGCAGTGTCCATCAGCAGTAAAACACCTTCATCAGTATTGAACCGCCGCCGCGCCTCTAGGCCTGCATACAGCTTCTCGCTCCTTCTCCTGAGATGGCTCGAAAGCCGCAGCATCCGACTCACGAGCAGGAAGAAGCTTTGAATTTTTGCACTTTGTAAATGTTGGCGAAGTGGCAGAGGAAAACCAGCATGTGATGATCGATTTTAAAGCGTGCCAACAACAACTCTGAGCGGAGTCAGAGGAGTAGTTTGGGGAGTGTGTTTATTGGCTTTCTTCCACAGACAGAGAGAGAGGATGAGATCAATGTCACTCTGATGTCTTTACTGTAAACAAAGGTGGAGCCGGGAGACAGTAAAGTTATCTACCTGCATCTGATTTATCTCTATTAAACAATATAACATAACATAATATAACAGGACATAATGATAATCGAGTTGCAGGAATTTGCTGTAATAATAAAAATATTTTCATTCGAAAAGTTGGAAAAGAACCAGATTAGAGAAAAGAAACGGAAATTTGACCATCCAGTATTTCCAGTGTGTGTGAGGCAAAAGTAGGTGTACCTGTGCTGTCAGTATGCAGGTTTTACGCCCATGAGCAGCAGTAAAGGCAGCTAAGCGTTCCTGTAATCATCGATCAGTCCTGCGCATCAACTCGGAGGGGTTTTTAGCCCATTCTTCCGTACAGGAGCGTTCAGACTCTGAGATTGCGGCGCGTTTCCTCGTGTGAACGCCTCGCTTCAGGTCTTACTTCGGTCAGGGATTGTATTTTCAACACATGACCTTTATTTTTCTTTGATCCTTCTTTGAGGTTCAGATCACGCACGCCTTCCTGCTGAGAGGCAGCGGGCCAGGCTCAAACCTTGACACCCCTCTTACATTTTACCCTCTAACGTCCCTCTAACACAGTGGTAGGGAACTCCAGGCCTCGAGAGCCGTTGGTCAACACACCTGAATCAAATGATTAGTTCATTACCAGGCCTCTGGAGAACTTCAAGACATTGAGGAGGTCATTTAGCCACTTAAATCAGCTGTTTTGGATCAAGGACACATCTAAAACCTGCAGGACACCGGCTCTCGAGGCCTGGAGTTCCCTACCCCTGCTCTAACGTGTTTGATAGATCCCCTTTGTTTAAATAAATACACCTGATTGGCATCCTGTTGACTGAAAACATCCTTAGCTTCATATTCACGGTACAGACATCAGAGGGGCATCATCAAAACTTTTAGCAAGAAGGCTAATAAACGGTTTGTTGAACAAAACAGGAGCCGTCTGTAATAGGGAGTGATTTGGTTTGGCTCTTTATAGATTAATTCTTCCTTATTCAGGGTAAGAGGAGTAAAGGTGCGTCAGCATTGAAAAGGGTCACTTTGCTGCTTGAGAATCAGCATATTCCCAGAGAAATCGCTCCGAGTGAGTCTGTGAGTCCTGCAGGTGCAGATTTTCTGGAGCCCCGGTCCTCCTCGGCTCACCGTAGTGCTGCTTATGTCTGCACTGTTTCAGTATAAACTCCCCGTGGAAAGCCATCCTTCCCTCCCCGGAGAAGGTCACAGATTGTGCTGCTCTGATTTATTTTCTTCTTCTTCTTCTTCTTCTTCTTTTATTCTATGCCTACTTTTTTCTTTATTGTTTTGTTTATGAACCCATGCTCCTTAAGTTTAACTTTGCACGTTGCACTGACTTTAATCTGCCTTGTTTTAGATCAGTGTGCATTGACCCGATGCTATACACACGCAGACACAGATTATGATGATGAAGATGATGCTTTGGAAAAAACAAAATAATGTGAAGACTGTGCTCGAAGTTACTGTATGTAGATGCCAGACACAGGCGGTGCCGAAGAAAGTTCAACTTTGCCCAAACCTTCACCCAGGAGGTCGAAATACCAAAGTATCGCTCACAGTCTAGCTTTACTCATCCCGTTTTCTCATCTTACTGACGTCAACATAAAGAGTTAGTGGTTTTATGTACTTTTTAGGGACATTTGCACATTCAAAAATATGCTCGTGCTGATTTTTATTTCTTTTATTTTTTTGCGGTTTTGTGGCTCTGAAGGTAAATTATGTAATGATGTAACAGTTTACTTTCACTACCAGCTCAGCACACAAGAGGGCGATATTGCACTGGAATGAAGTAGCAGCAGGAGCCTGAATGCCTGTGAGATGATTGTGGGGTTTGGAAATATTGAACAAAAAAAAAAGGTAAATGACCTGAAGCCCCTCCCCCTGTTTATTTTCCCCCTGTACCACTGGGTTGCTCTGCACGTGGTCTGCACCGCCCGTTTGAATGTGTAAGCTCAGCCTTCAGGGACCAATCGTGACTCACCTGCTGTCGGTGAAATCTGTTTCTGCGGGCACTTTGTGCATGTTCGTATGCGGCTCACAGGAGACTGATGAGCATCGTTGTCGCCGTGTTCGGTGTCGGTCTGAGCAGTCGTGCTTGTGACTAGAATAAAAGGATTTCCATGTGTTTTCTTTCATTGCGCTGGTGGTCGGAGAAGGGGTGTGAGGACCTACTACAAGTGACAGCAGTTTTACTGTCTTTACATAAAGTGGGTTTTTTTATGTGGCGATTTAAACTGCAAGAATGGACTCGATGCTGTCAGATCTGCACATCCAGAGCTGTACATAGCCGCAGTGTGCTTCATAAACAAACTAACCGCTGAATAGCATTCGCACCCGGGGCCATTACTGGTCATGACGGATATATGTGTGTGTTTTTCCGCTCCAGGTTCTGTGATTGAGCCGTGTGACCGTGAGTGTGCGTTGTAATATCTAAAGGAGACACCCAGCAACTAATAATCCCCTCTAGACTTTTAAAAAAGTAACGCCATCACGCTGCAGGAAGACACCCAGCTCAATAATCCTGTCTCTTTCAATAGGCTTATGATAGAAGCTGCACCCACCATTCGTACCAACACAGCCACCACCTCAAGTCTGCTGTTGCCCAAATGCCACAAATACCGCCCCCCTCTCTTCCCAACCCCGAACACATACTGTGTACCCGCCGCTGTGGCTGCATGTGCAACGCAGCTCAGGTAACATGTGAATGGACTAACATGGACAATCCACCCAGAGACAAAGCTGTACATAAAACCCAAAGTGGCACTTCTCCTGTAGATAATGTACAATATCTTCTTTTTTAATTTTGTACCAGCCAAACTGCTGATATTTATAACTATTGCCTATTTATGTACAAACTGTTCTCCTGTACATACTCAGCAGGCGGTTGAAATAAAAATCTTTTGCAGCATAAAAAGCTCAGGAGTGTTGTTTCTGCTCTTTATGGATCGTCTTCGTCTCACAGCACAAACAGGAGGAGTGCGGAGGAACCTGGTGATAATGTTATGATATGTGTATCATATTTAATGCATCAGTTTTTGATACCTCTACATCATCAGTGTGATTTGTCTTAACTGCAACCCCGTTATATGTTTTCATAATAGCCAGGAAACCTACGCCTTCTTTGGGTAAACTGATGGCCAGCAGGGGGCGACTCTGCTGGGTGTGGAAGAGTCAGCGGGGAAAGCGGCCCTCTGCTCTCTGGTTCTGTGACCTCATTGAAACTCTTTCCTGTGGGCTCAGTCAATAATTTCAGGTCATACTGAATAAAAAATGAAGTTAATTTAGTAAATTATTGGTCACTGAGTGAGAAAGGAGGATCATTAACAAGTGAGCAGTCCTTCATCAGGCCTTCACCAGCTAGTGAGTTACATTATGGTGGCTGTGTCTGTCTTTTATACTGTATGTGGTTAGAAATTAAGAGGAAGGTTTTTAAAGTGTAGATTCAGCAGAAAAAAATTAGTCTTTTGGATACTTTTGATGGAGATGAACAGTCAGGTCCAGAAGCATTTGAGTGGTGGCACTTTTTTTTCTTTTGAGCACCACCTCAGTTGATTTGAAATCAAGACTTTCAGCTTTAATTCAAGGGGTTTAACAAAAGTGAACCGTAGAAGCATTACAGTCATTTTTGTCCACAGTCTGACGTTTTCAGAAGTTCAAAAGTAATGGACAACAGGCAGTTTCGTGCCCAGGTGAGGCTGGCCATGAAACTAACCAGATAAAAGCTTTGGAGTTGATTCCAAGTGTTGTTCTAAGTGCATTCAGTATGAGGTCCAAGAGCGGGAGGCCATCATTCAGCTGAGAAGCCAAAATAAGCATATCAGCATATAAAGACCATATTATTGTCCAAATGCTTAATAGACCTGACTTTATGGGCTTTTTAAAGGCTGTACAATTTAGTGTTTAAGATCACTAACAATGGTGACTGTGCCTTTTAATCTACCTAAAAGTGATAAAAGTTGTAGTTTTCTTTAACAGTTTTATTGGATTTACTTAATTTAAATTTAAATTTGAGCAATATTTCTTCTTTTTACATATACAAGGATCAAAAATGACTCTTTAAATCTGACCAGCTCCCTGTTTTTATTCTTGGATTACTTCCATATGAGCAGCATGGACTAATAATCCTCATTTGTCCCAGAACTGGCCCTTGGTGCAGCCTCTCAGTTCATCCTTCATCTGAAACAAAGTGTTTCAGCTCCTTTTGAAGTTCAAAGTAATCTTTATTAAGGGTATCCGCTCTCACTGACATCATGAAGAGCCACGATCAGAAAAACTGTGTCAAGCTTATAGGGATTACTTGCCCGTGTGCTCGCCTCATTATTTCAAACCCTTTTTAATGACAGAAAATAAGCCAGACACAGCATTTTTCTAGCTTTGTTAACCACTAAAAGCACATTAATATGGTGCACTTTACTGAGCAGTTATCGCACATGCTTGCACTGCAGCTTTGAGCCTCTGTTATGTATTTAAACTCTCATTATTTTTTACATTGTGTTGTTGTGATTGTTGGCAGTAGGCCTGCCACATGTTTGCTGATTGCTCATATTCTGTGAAATCTGTCTTCTATGTTTACATGCAGGTACATTTAGTTGGGCTAATTATTAGCTGTAAACGTAAAGATGTCTTCCTGTGCAATCACTGTTTGTTCTTTGTGAACGCCAATGTGTCTTTTGCCCGTCGCCTCCGCCCAGTGCTCGTCTCCCGGCGTTCCCTGGCTCTGCTGTACGTGCCCTCCCGCAGCAACCATTTTTAGAGAAGGTAAAGTCATGTTTTGTCTCCGCACGGACTCGAGGAAGTTGGCTGTTTTCATTTGCTGGTATGATACCCAAAAAAAGCCTCCGGTACGTGATGCCTCCTCATTGTAACGGTGGGGGCATCGCCTCCTGAAACATTTTGATTGTGGCTGTGACTCCAACACACAATTGCTCATTCTCATATCTGATTTGACATTTGGTTGCTGTTCCAGCCGTGTGATCTGCTTTCCTCTTTGGCTTGAACAAGGTTTTCTTTCCCTTTTTTGGGTTTCATATCCAGCCCACTGCACACACGTTGCTGCTGAGTGTAATGTATTATTAATTCTGCAGGGACGAGGAGGAGAGGAGGAGGAGGAGGGCTGTGAATAACTGTGATGGAATTTAGTCAGCATTCTTGTGGGCTCAAAAGGACAAAGGTCTCGAGTTGTTATCACCTTGTTTTTTGTTATTTTATTCTTTAATGGCTGAGAACAGAGCCTGTGACTGCGGCTTTGGTTTCCACTCATCAGCCGAAACGACCAATCGGAGAGAGAGGCTGAGGTGAGCTGATAAGAAGTCAGCGGCCGCTATGGAGGCAGGAAGTGTTTCATAAGAGGCCAGGGAATGTAGCTGTTGTATTTATGAGTGTTTGATGGATGTTTGGTAAACTCGGGAGCAGAAACAATGATGTTTATGCTCTTAACTGACCTTAAATCACACTGAAATTGATGCATCGATGTATTATTACAGCGTGTCACCCGGTACAGCACATAAATACAAGCTTTTGATAAATCGTTGCAAAAATATGTGACAGGTTGGGATTTCTTTGGAAACTGTACAAAGATCATCCACCAGCAACGTGTTTTCCTTATGTCACCAAAACACCTTTGGCCTGTCAGTGCTTGGAATTTGCAAGACTTCTGTCCTCTTGTATCTGAGAGCAAGACATTAGCAACAGATCCTTTGAGTCCTGTTTGCTGTGACGAGTAAACCATGTGCAAGGATGTTCAGGTAGGTGACATCCACATGTATGGCAGGACCGAGATTTTCCGGAGTTTTCTTATATCTGTGCCTCTGTGTCTCCTCCTGCCAGCACAATCTCAATCACTCTCAGTGCATGTATTGAAGGATGTCTCAGTTTCTGCAGAGGACAGGGCAGGCTATGAATAAGGATGCACAGGTGAGGCACAGCACACAGCTTGTCCTTTTTATCTTTAAGTTGTTTCATATCTTTAATGTCAGAAACTGAATGAACAAATCATCTTGCCTTTGACGTTTGTCCTTAACAGGGTCGTGGGGGGGGCCGGAGCCTCTCCCATCTACCTTAGAGCGAGAAGAGAACACGTGGACAGGTCATCAATCTGACATCCTGAACAGAGAAGCCCAAACCTCCCTCTTCCCAGCCACTTCCTCCAATTTATCCTGGGGAACCTGGGTGTCTCCTCCAAGAGAGACACCCAGGAAACATCCTAGTCAGGTGTCAAAACCACCTGGACTGTCTTCCTTTACTGTGGAGGAGTAGCATCAATACTTTGATCTGGGCTCGTCACCCTGCCTCTAAGACAGAGGTAGGATGAAGGCCAGAAGGTTAGCTCATGCAGTTCACATGCACACTGTGGTTTGGGTTTCAGCGTGTTGCCCAACATGCAAGCACAGGGAGGCAGGGATTGAACCACCAACCTTCTGATATGTAGACAGCTTGCTTAAACTCCTGAGCCACAGTCGCTCGGGATGAGGTTACCTAGGCAACCAGAGCCTAGAACACACTATCGACTAACCATCAGCTACAAAGTGATGCTCAACGCCATTTGATCACTGATATAAATAAATTAATGACAGGATTCATTATTTTTTATATCGATTCCACAGGTCACACAATTTGAATGAACTGAACAAAGTCTGTAGCTCAAAGTGCCGAGCTCACAGCTTTCTTTTTACATCAGCATTTCTTTATAGTGTCAACAAAAACTGAGTGATAATATTTTTCTTGAGGCAGTTCAGGCTGATTGATTCATAAATCAATAGTTCATTAAATGTGAATGCTTTCAGCAGCGTGTACTCAATTGATATATTCTAAAAGAAAAAGAGGTTTGGAGGTGCTGTTTTTAAAGGTTATTGGACAATAGATTTACTGGTCCAGCCCTCATGAGACCAAACTGAGCTGTATGTAGCCTGAACCAAAAAAACAAAAAACCTTTGACACCCTGGTCTTAGATAAAAGCAACACTGACACAAAACACAACACAAAATAACGCTGTGGAGCCCAGTGGTGGGCCACGGTTCCAGCGACAGTCTGTAATGATCAGCCTGCTTTAGACTTTACAGACTTTTAAATCACTCCACACCATTGTCTGGAGTTACATACTAAACTAAACTAACAGCCTAAACACACAGCTTCTCTAATGATCCTATAAAATCTAATATTTAAAAGTAGAATTGGAGACAGAGGCTTTAGATTTCAGATTCAGGAGACAGACACCATCTCTACTTTTAAGATTAGGCTGAAAATTTTAAGGCTGGAACATGTGACCCTGAATCCTTCATTAGTTGTGCTGCAATAGGCCTAGACTGCTGGGGACTTCCCATGATGCACTGTTTCTTCTTGACTCATTATGTTTATACATGACTCTGCATTCAATAAACAGTTATTATTTTTCTCTGACTTTCTTCCACAGTGGGTTTTTTTTTCTCTTCCTCACCCACTGGTCACAGCAGATGCTGCCCCTCCCTGAGCCTGGTTCTTCCTTCCTGTTAAAAGAAAGATTTTCTTCCCCACTGTTGCCAAATCAAAGCCAAAATGGGTTTGTTTGATTGCTGGGATTTTCCCTGTATTATTGTAGTGTCTTAACCTTACAGTATAAAGTGCCTTGATGTGACTGTTGTTATTATTTGGCCCTATATAAATAAAACTGAATTGAAAAAAAGGGTTAATCTTTGTTAACATTAAAGGAATACTTTAAAAATAACAACAACTGTTAAATAACATTTCCCCCCACTTGGCCTACAACATATAATTTCAAATGAAAACTGGTACGGTTATTCAATTTCTCCTTCAATGACTTGCAGCTGGAACCTTTAAAAAGAACTCAGGAAGCCTGGGGACTGTTTTGGCCCAAACACCCTTGGGAGAAAACAGGAAGGTAAGAAACAATCTTGTAGTCAATATAGTCACTCATTAAGG